ACATGTACAAGACGACAATGCCACAAGGATGCCTTTTCCAAACTATTGGAAGAATCTATGTGCAACACATTATTTCCTAATTGTCTACAACCATCACAGTTTCATATACACCATTGCAAGGTAATGCTTTAAAATAAAATACACCATTATAAAAAGCATTAATAGCACCAATTTCATTATCAAATGAAAAACTAAAACCTTGTTTGTAAAAACCATGAAAGGAAATAATATTCCTCGCCATTTCAGACGAGCACCAACAATTTTTCAAATCTATTTCTAACCCACTACTAAGAAATAAAGAGTAAACTCCAATCTTGGTGACAGGTGAAACTTTCCAATTCCCCATGATCAAGTTTATGTTCCCGTGCTCCACATCCTTACTTCCTTTCAGGCCCTGCAAATCAGAACAAATGTGAAATCCACAACCTGTATCAAGGACCCAAGAGTTAGAATGTGATGAGTTTTTAGATAGAATAGTATAAATACCTGCATGGGTGGGTTTAACCTTCCCATCCTTAACATCCTGCAAGTACTTGGGGCAGCTTCGCTTCCAGTGCCCCTTTTCATGGCAATAGATGCACTCTACTTCCTTTGGGTTAGTCGAGGGAGTGGAAGAACCACCTTTGGTTCCACTTGAATAGGATCCATCAAAAAGACTTTCCCTTGTGACCCTTGGTAGGGGTCTTCCTCTTCTTCCCCTTACCATGCCCAATTGCCAAAACAAGGGCAGGAGTAGGAGTAGTAATACCGATTTTCCTTTGAGACTACTTTCATCAGTCCTCAAAAGTCCTTGAAGTTTGCTAAGAGTGACCTCCTCCTTATTCATATGATAGGTCATGCCGAACTGATCATAACATGGAGGTAAAGAGTGTAGAATGATATCTATGGCCAACTCTTCATCAAAGTTGACATTCAACTTTAGCAAACGGTCTACAAACCTTTGCATTTTCTGCAAGTGGGTCGTGATGGACTCTCCATCCTTCATTTTAGTTGTTATCATGGAGGCTATTATTTCATACCTCTCTTGACAAGCACTCTGATGGTATATTTCCATCAGGTCCTGGTGCATCTCAAAATGGTAGAAGTCCTCATAGGACTTTTGGAGTTCTGCTGATATAGTGGCCAACATGATACAAGAAACTTTAGTAGCATCCTTCTTATGGGTCCTAAACTCAGCAGTCTCCTCCGGAGTAGCAGACGACTCATCGATTTCCTTAAGCTCCTTGTCTACGACATATTCATTGTCCTCATAGCGAGTGACCATCCTGATGTTCCTAATCCAGTCATTGAAGTTAGTGCCATCAAAGATGACTCTCCCATAAAGGCTCATGAGAGAGAAGGAGCCAGTAGGGTTTGAGCCAGAAGCAATGTTGGAAGACATCTTAAAAAGAAATAAAAAGTTTATATTAGATAATAATATTTAATATAACACCCAAAATGAAATATTAAGGCTAGGACCTAACACAATATTTTACAACTCGTCGAGTTCAAGCTTGGACTCGTCGAGTTGAACCTGACAGTGCAGTTTTCCAGCTTTGAAAAATTATACTTTTGCAACAATATAATTGAAAACTAACCTGGCTCTGATACCACTGATGGGTTTTGTGCACTATAACAACCTTATGGTGCATATGCAACCCTAGATGCTTTGGATCTAAGTTTTTTTTTCTAATTATACATGCAATATTTTCCAAAGCATTCATCTTAAACTAGCATACAAAACATGGGTATTTGTATAACAAAAACTAGTTAGATAACATACCTTTTGTAGATTGTTAACTTAGAGCTTTAAGATCCTAGCACCAATAATGTGAATGCCTCAAATGGAACCACAAATCACCACCAACAATGGAGGACTTGAGAGAATATTACTTGCACTCAAATTTTCGTCTATGCTCTTCCAAAGATCACTAGTGGCCGGTTTCATGAGCTTGAGGGCTTCTTATATAGTGTGTCATGATTAGGGTTACATCCATGCAAACCCTAATGCCCATGACCATTCATATTACTTAGGATCCATGGGTTAAACCTCCATGGACTATCCATGGACTACCATCTTGGTTTAGCACAACCTAACTAATCATAGGCCCACACTTTAAGAATCATTGATTTACCAAATTAACCCCTTATATTTAATTAGTCTCTTTTGAGCACAAAATTAATTCCAAATTAATTCTTGATCAATACTAATTAAATAATATGATTTCACATTAATATATAAGAACTCATAATATATTAATAAATCATAAATAACCTTTTCTCAAAAGTCCATCCTTACAAATTGTTCCGATGAAATGCAACCCAAATGGACCATGCTGTATTCGGGTCAAGTACATGCCAATTATAATTATGGACTTAGACACCGTATCCAACAAAGAATCATAGTCGCCACCATGATGCAAGAACCTTTTGTTGCATCATTACAGTGTTTCCTATACTCATCTAGTTCTTCATCAGTAGCTTTGGTTTCATCAATCTCGAGAAGTTCTTTGTCGAGCACATACTCCTTGTCCTCGAAATGGAGAGCCATTTTAATGTTGCTCATCCAATCGTTATAATTGGTGCCATCAAAAGTTACCCTCGAGCAGATGTTCAACAATGAGAAGTTGTTGTTGGAGGAACCAAAAGCATCATTTGGAGTAGACATCTATAAAAGAAAGATAGTTTTTGGTTAGATAAGAATAATCCTCAATATAACACCCAAAATGAAATATCAAGGCTAGGATCCAACTAAATAATTCACAACATAGAAAATGGATGTCGTAATCTAATTGCAAATTATTTAAAGGTATGTAAATGACAATTTACCAATTCCACCATTGAAAAACGAAATTTTAACGAATTAGGTTTTAAGTGAAATTCCTAGATCATTTGAGATTCATTGAACTCTTCAATGACATCTTTAATCTCGATTATGCTCTTCTATTTGAAACTGGGTTACCGAGAATCACAAACAAGATGTCAATAACCATGCAAATTAGCTTGGTACTCTCGATGTCATTTATCATCTCAATTTAATGTGCCGGTTAACCACATACGCTCCATTAATCAATGATAATTTACGAGACACTCATTGCCACTCTTTATTAGTCCCTATTAGTGTGACGGTTAACCACACACGCTCCACTAACGACTTATAAAGTGCAATGTGCAATTCCATGGGTTAGCATACAAATTCACATTTTTCCTAAAGCAACTAAGATTGAGAATTTTTTTATAAAAGGAATTTAGTTACTTTATAATTCATTCTACTTATTAATGAGAATTTTTTTGTCCTATCAAACCCGTTCAGCTAACGACCCTCCACCAATCAATGAAGCGGTTGGTGAGAACGAACACCCATTCAACTACCATTTTATAGGCAGTTTCCTTATACCCCTTTATAGACCGGCTTCGTGAATGAGGTCTACTAGCGGTTTGACTGACTTAGTCTTATACATATAGCAATATTTAATTTTACATATATTATAAGGTGTATTTTAAACATTTCAAAATACTAGGTTTAGTTACTAAATTTCAAAAATTAAAACATTTAATTTAAATTCAACAATTGTAATCCATTCAATACAAAACAAACGAAGGCTCTGATATCACTAATGGATTTTGAGCATAACAAACAAAAACCTATGTATGTATGCAACCCTAATTCTTGATCTATGTTTTTTTTTCTAATTGAACATACAAAGTTTGAACATCAAATGGAAAACCCTGGGAAACCTATTCTATTTTTGAACATAAAACACTTGTGTTGTTAATGCTTAGAGAGTAAGCACCACAAATGTCGTGCCTCTAGTGGTTCACACCCAACACTAGCAAGAGGATGAGAGAGGAGATAGGAGAAGGAGAGCTAAGAATTTCGGCTATCACTCTAGGGTTTTTAGTGGTCGAAAATCCTAAGGGGTAAGGGTCTATTTATAGTCTAACAAGGATGGTCTAGATAACCCTAATCTGAATATAATAATAATATTTCAAATTGATAATTATCCAGCTCCTTATTTATCTACATAGGATAATCTATAAACCCTAAATTATCCATATGAAAACCGTCCAACCCTTCCCTAGGAAGGTTCTGGAACCTCTTGTTCAACTATTGAACAATTACACTTTAGACCCTATACTTTTAATTAATTCTTTTAATCCTAAAATTAATTCTAATTAATTTTTGATTAAATATTAATTAAATATTACTATTTTTAATTACTATATTATTCTCATAATATATTAACAAATTATTTATTTTAATTTATTAATCAAATAATAAATCAAACTCTCTCTCCAAAAGTCATTCTGTCAAGTTGCTAGTTTTAAAGGGCAACCCAAAAGGACTGTGCTACTATCAATTCAAGTATATACCAATTATAGTTATGGGCTTAGACACCTAATCCAAGATAAACTTGCCCCAAGGACTATACCCTGGGAGTAAGATCTAACGATCAAGTTAGATTGCTAGTGTAAAGAGAGTCGACTCCACCTAGCGAGATGGATCCAACCATGCGGAGACAGGGATATCTTCATAAAAAAGAGAGATGTTGATGTGGGTAAGGAACACTATAAAACCTGGAGTGTTTCTTAGTCTTTTAAATGAGAAGAATCGAAACATGATTGATTTGACAATCTCTCCAAGTAATCGATCCTCAACTCTCATATGAATAAACTAAGTTGTGTTAGATGAGCCCAAAAGTAGAGATGGTTCTCGATATGATGGTAAAGACATAAATGACGATGAAGAGCTATTAGAACTTAACAACCAAGCAGCTTTGTAAGTCAAGCAATTTAACATGTTAAAGTTAAAAGGAAAGGAGTTCAAACCCATAGCAAAAAAGTTTGATGCTTGGCAAAAAGAATTGAATTGAGAACGAAATGTAAGACTTGTATCTTGGGAAGCAAAAGAAGAAGTGATATGTACATTTCTTACCTACAAGTCCGTGGTTTTATCTATGAGCTAAGTATTCCTATGATTCATGATAAGTACATTTCTTATTGATTTTGTGCCCACAAGTATGTTGTTTAACGTAGTCCCTACTCCTTCATGTCCCATCAAATCTCTTAGAACTTTGATGAGTGTTGCTACGTCAGGTTTTAGAATCGGTTCTTTGGGCGTTGCTCTATCTCATATGTCTGGTGAGTGTGCGTCATGGTTGGATTCCGACTATAAAACCTGGCTAGCAGCAAGAAACAAGACCGTAAAGTCTCAAATAACTATGTTGTGTTAGATAAACTAATTTCTCACTCAACTAATTATGTTCAAAGATATTCACTCCCAACATTAAGACGTCCTATTAGTACTCTCAAGTACATCGGCATAACTAAGAGAATGACCAAAATACCCCTCAAGCTCTCCTTTATTACAGGCATTATGATTCTACTTATTTTCTATATTTAAAACTACTATGAAGTGTTACAGAGGTTAATGACGTTTAAATTTTATTTACATTTAGTCATTTTTTTTATACACAATTTACTAGTGCACTTATTTTTTATGTTTGAAAAATATCACTACAACCGGTTATTGTAGGTCATAAGGGTATTTATTTAAGACTAAAAACAAGTTTAGTGATAAAATATATACATAAAAAGAAAAAGAAAAGTGACTAAATATGAAAAGTGAAATCTTAGTGGCTAATAATTCTCTATCTCTTCTTAATCTTTTCTTTGAATTTTATTTACGAAAATCCACTAGCTTGTAAAATATTCACTTTTTTTATAACTATTTGTTTTTTCAAATCTAATTTTTATATTATCATTAATCTTGCAATGATCATCCAAATAATTAAAATGAAATATTAAAAAGAGATAATGAATTATGGAGTGATAAAATTGTTTTTATGTTGAGATTTAGTCTTTTTCTTTTTTGTGTATATAATTTTCTAGCGAGCTTATTTTTTGTGCGCAAAATTTATACTTATGACATGTAATAATCTGTCATACTATTACTTTTTTTATTACAAAAATTATGTTCATTGATAAATAATATACAAAAAAAGATATCCCCCGAAAAAATATAAAAAAAATCGACTAAATGCAAACAAATTCAAAAATTGAAGTTTTAATACAAAACAAAATTCATTTGTCCTTTTTAAGTTTTTATTCTTGGATTTTAAAGACTTTACAAAAAAAAAATCGGTAGCAAAAAAGCGACTGTCGTTGCTCCTTCTCCCAACCCTCTTCTTTCTTTCTTCCTTCAAGGTACTTAATAAAAGAACTTTTTGTGAAAGGAGCTCTTTAAAAAGTGTTTGGATTAGCAAAATGACTTTTGTGTTAAATTTTACACGTAACTCACAAAAAGTCACAAAAAGTCAGGTTTTTGTGACTTTTTGAAAGCCGTTATTTTCCTCTATGCAAAAGTCATTTTCAAAAGGACTTTTCTATTACCCAAACATCTTTTGTTTATTTTTTTTTTGACTTTTTAGAAAAGTTAGAAGCTAAAAGTAGTAACCCGAAACACCCATTTAGCTCATCTCAGATCTGGATTCATCGAAGTTTTCGTATATGCTTCTTATTTAGAAAGGTGATTGAAATTCTATTCATAGTTTTCGTGTATTAACAATGGTTTAGATTTTAGGTTTAGCTGTTTGTTATGCATGTATCGATTTCAGTAATTATGTTTAATGGAATTGTAGAATATGAAATAAATTGGAGCTCCTCTGTCAAGTCATTAGGTGTATCGTATAATTTTGTTCATGCAGGAATTGTCCAATCATTGTGTCTGCCTGTAATTAAACATTATTTGTAACGTACGCAATCTAAACTACGTCAGCTAAGCTTCCATTAGCAGCGTACTCTAGGATTATGTAGAAACCTGAGCTCCAAACCAAATTTCTAACATTGTTCACCATTTAACTTTAGCTTGATCCCGCGCACTCAACCTGTTTGATAAAATTCCCCACAGAAACTTCAGAAATCTTTTCAACAATGGGTTCACAAACTGCAAGCAAAAACATAATCACTCTCGGTGGATCCTCAGCCATTGTGTGCGAATATTTCGGTAAAAACTCTTGTTTCTTGTTGACGTCTCCTTAAACCACTAATTTCTTGATGCTAAAAAATCTGTATTTATACACCCATAAATCTATAATTATACACCTTCTTTTCAGGTTATGCAGCAAACAGGTAATAATTGCTAGCGATTTCTCCTTCTATGGATGTAGTTTTCTCATTTCTGTGTGTTCAATTAGAAAAAAATACTAATTTTGATGGTGTAATGTGTAGTATTCTGCACCTTAACGGTGTTTATCCTGAAGAAACTTTTGAAAGAGTGAGGAAACATGAACTTCGATTGTTGCTTTGTAAGAAAATGAGTGTTAAGTCATACTTATCAAGGCTTGATAAGCAGATTTCCGGTAAACTTTCAGTATTGTTAGTAACACTTTTCCCCAATCTTAATACACTTCGCATTGTATTTTGCTTATGTGATTTGCATTTAAAATGAGGTTTATAAAGAATGGCTGGAAGCTGGGAGGTTGCATGAGATTGAACTTCTGATTATGACTAAGGCCACCAATGAAGTACTTCAGAGTTGGAACTTTATTATAAAGACTGATGGTGAAGCTGCTGAAAAAGGGTAAGATATTCCTGAAACATGAGTCCACTAATGCATTGTTTTCATGTCATTTTAATGGTTTATGATCTTCATATGTTTAAGGGAGAAGAGTGATAAAGAAATCATGAATGAGATTAGAGATGTTCTGAGACGTATTTCAGCCACCTACAGAGTCTTTCCTCTCCTTAATGAACCATGTAAGTACATATATAGCCCTTCTGTTTCAAGAAGGCTAAAGAAAAAAACATGCTTAGAGTGTTATTATGTTGAAATTGCAGGCATCTTTAATGTGGTGGCACATATTGATAAGGATGGTACAATAGCATTCAAATGGAAAGACAGTGAACACGAAAGGTCTTATATGGAGAGATTTCGTGCTTTCAGTACTAAGGTATTATTGTTTTTCTCATTTCATCTTCATATCAATATTAATTTATGGAGGCTGGTGGTGTTTAAGAGATTGTGGTTATTATTGGTGCAGATACTTAAGGCTGCCTCTTCGGTTTCTTTCAAGAAGCGAAAATCGGATGACCAGATGCATGAGGTTGACACTATGGTTCCTAAGAAGAAATCAAAATTGGATGACTAGTAAAAGGTGGGATCTTATTTTTGCTGTTTTTTCTTATTACAGTTAATGTGAATGCATTTGGAGGAACAAACTATGAATATATAAACTTGTATTTTTGACTTTCTTATGGCTGAAACATTGAAAGATAACACTCTAAAAAAGAATAATTTGCTTCAGTAATACATTGCTTTTTAGAAAGTTTGAACACAATATGGTTTGGTGTGGTTTTAGCAGTAAAAATGGAGGGATGTTGTTTGGCATGGCTAAAATATTATTTGGTATTGTCAATAAGCAATTTTGCCCAAAATAAATTTAGAAAAAATAATAATAAATAAACCACTTTTTGAGTTACATAAGCCACCCTTAAATTGGATAAAAAAATTATGTTAATTTGGCATCTATATTTGTCAATGTTTTGGAAACCCGGCTGGATATCCAACCAGCCTCTTTAAATAAGTATATGCATGTGACTATTCTTCTCTAACCCCTTCTTTTTAAACAAATTAGATTTTTCATCCTTATTTCATATCTCCATCCGATTAATATTTTTTTTCTTTTGTGTTTACTTATATTGTTGTTTGATTGTTGATAAAAAAAATATCATATTGTTATATATATATATATATATATATATATATATATATATATATATATATATATATATATATATATATATATATATATATATATATAGAGAGAGAGAGAGAGAGAGTTAAGCGCATGGGTAAGAAATGGTGGTAAGAACATGGCGAGTCACTACCTTAAGCTTACATCAATAAAATATCTAACATTTTTTCCAAATAGACCCAACTCCATCTCTCCATATAAACAAGTAGTGTTATATCCGTCCGGTGGCTTGGTTGACCGATATAAAAACTATAGATCGATTTTACTTTCTTTTATAGTATCATACTTTCATTAGTTCCCATTATAGCATTGTACTTTGAAAATTCTATAAAACTATAGCTATATTTTTCATATAAAGTTGTTTTGAATTTGATAGCCAAGAACATGATCATGGGTGGCTATAATAAACTTGTCAAGATGATATTCAAATAATATAATGCAATTATATTTTCTAAATATATGTATATCATGGTTATAATTCTATAAAAGTTTTTTGATTGTTGGTTATGTAAATTTATAAACAAATATATTTATTGCCTATTATAGCATCATAATTTAATGTGTTGCCATTATAACATTTTATAATGACAAACCTACCCAGTTATAGTTAATATCATCTCTAAATATTATTTGAAGAGAACATTTAATTCTAAATTGAAGAAATCAGGGTCATTGAATGCATTTCAATCCTATATTTTCCACCATTGGATTATTTGTTGACATCATCTTTGTCAACCCTTTTATTTTTGTTCACAAATTTTATAAAACATATATTACGTTTTAAATCAGGAAGTCTATTGATGACAATTAAATCTCACCAAAAATAAAATTAATTAAATTAGGTATTCTATTAATAACAATTAAATCTCACCAAAAATAAAATGAATTAATTTTGAAATTCTATTAATGAAAATTAAATCTCACCAAAAATAAAATGAAAAAATGCCACGCCCCATCCCTCATTACCAGTATCCCTACCCTCTCTCCCTTTTTTCTTTACATAATTTATCTAACCTAAGTTTTGCAGAGGGGATGAAAATGGGGAAGAAAAAATATAATATATGTGGGCTTCGATCCATGTAGACTAGTCTTGTGTTCGATCATCATGAACTAAAGAGGAATGATATAGAGATAAATTTCTTTGGATCCTAATTTAATTTGGTTGTAGTTTAGATCGATTTTGGGTACGTTTTAGATTATGTTTCTTTTATTTTGTTTCAACTATGAAGTTCCAATTTATAAAACCTTTCGATTTAAGTTTAAATCCATAATGGTTATATTTTCTGAATTTGCTTCGATTTTTGTTCTGATGATTTGTATTCTTGATTTTGATTTTTTAAGTTATAGATATCCGGAGAGCAAAATGATGGACATAGTAGCACCGCTACCTCTCATCCATTGTTTCGATTTGGAAGATATGTCCACTAGGTAGTGAATTTGTATATGTCGATTTTCTTTTTTATTTTTACATTTTTGTATATTCATTTAGTCAATGATTTTTTTGTGGCTTACCAGGTCGTGAATGGAAGATATACTCGAGTCAATATCTATAATGCTTTACCCATTCGATCCCTTCCAGGATTTGGAGATGGAATTTAAACCCTTATACCATTGAGTGATCCACATATTCTACAACTCAGCAAAACCCAGTAGTGATATGTGTTTTGATTTATTGTAAAAAACATCTTTAAAAATACAAATTGGGCTCTCAGAAATAAGTTATTCACTTATCCTTTTTTAATATTATAAAAAAAACATCTTTTAGACTCAATAACAAATAAAAGACAAAGTTTTAGTATACCATGTAAACAGATTACATCGATAAATCTTATTGGAAAATGTTTGGGATTGATTAATTTTGGTTAATTAGCAGGTTTTTTTTTTGGTTAACTTGTGTTGTCTGGGCATGCCGAGAAGCATAGTAAGAACCTTGCACAACCTTATTCTTTCGTTCAACTAGTTTGAATCTTCTTATTGAGTTTACTTTCTCAAAGATAAATGGGTACACCCTAGACTCTTGAAAATAGGGTTGGTAACATTGTGAGTATCAAGGTTTTCTCAGCAATAAGAGAAGATATTTATATATAAGTTGCAATATAAATCATTTTTAATTACATAATAATAACTAAACAAAGATATGTGAAGGATTATCTTTATAATTTAAATTGCAATCTATAACATAAAAATCGTATGAAATTTTCATTGTTCCATTCCATGCCTCACAAACATGTTTCCTAGAATGGAACTACTTATTCTATTATCTTGCTTTTACGATTACCTATCCATTCCATTTCTTTGTTGTTCCATTCTTTGCAAGCTCACATATCTCAAAAAAGTAATTCAGAAATCCATCATACAATAGAAATTGTTTTTATAAACTCCTATAAGGGAAGAAGAAAGATAAGACAAAATGAGTGTATGATGTTAATCTAATTATGATGTTCTTTCGTCTCTATTTGCATGTTTCTAGCTTGTTTGTAGTATTGTCTATAAAATGTTGTTGTTATATTTGAAAGTTCATTTTACCCTTTTTCATCTTTTTATGTGTATATTTTAATATTTCAGGTTTTTTTAAAGTATTTGAGGGACCGTTTCTGCTTGGGAGTGGGGTGAAGTCAAGGGCCCTAAAACTGGAGGGTAGTTGTATTTAGAGCCACTTAAATATTGAAGATTTTTGTTGGCATTAATTTCAATAATCATATATACCCTAGAAGAGATATCATAAGCATAGTTTATTTTTTATAATGTTTTTTTGTATATTTATTAAATGTTCTACATGTGATGTCTACAAGGTGCTGGTATTTTTTTTGTTGGCAAGTTATTACACTATCTAACACCCCAATAATCTATAATATTTGTATAAGATGGTGACAATTATTATTTTTTATTGCAGCTTCTCTTCCTATTGATTATCCAATGTGGTTTGAGTTCTAGAATGGTGCCACTGAGAGGATTCCACAATGTAGGGCGTTTGAATTAATTACAGAATGAGGCATGATTTATATGTTTTTTTGGGTATTGACGGAAATGTTTAATTCTTGCTCATATAGATCGATAAGTATTTTACAATATGCTCTTTTAACCGTATAATAGGACTTTTTCTGGAAAAAATTGGTTTTAGTATTGAACTTTGAAAAAAAAATTCATATATAGCATCGTACTCGTAAGAAAATGACTTTTTTTTGGATTATTTTTAGTTGATATGGAAAGTTACATTTTTTGTATATTGAAGATCATTTAAAGGATTGTCTTCTGGAAAAAAAAATATTCATTAATAGCATTAAACTTTGCAAAAAAAAAGTTCATTAATAGCATCGTAGTTTCAAAAAAGTACTTTTTCGTATTCTTTTTGACTAATCTAGAAAAGTTTTATTTTTATGTACATTAGAGCTCATTAATAGGATTTTTTTGAAAACATTTTGTTTATGGAAAGTACATTTTCATTTTCTTTCGCATATAGACCATCTATGTAAAAAAAACATTTCAAATATGGACCATTTATGTATTTTTGTTCACAAGTGAACCATTTATATAATATATAAATTTAAATGTTAATTAGTAGGTCATTAATATGACAATTTTCTAGGGAAAATTTGTTTTTAGTATTGAAATTTGCAAAAAAAAAAGTTCATTAACAGCATTGTACTTTAAAAAAATATTATTTTGGAATATTTTTAGATGATATTGGAACGTTTCATGTTTTCCAACATTGAATCTCATTTGTAGGACAGTGTCCTGGAAGCAAATTTCATTAATAGCGTTGAACTTTGCAAAAAAAAATCATTAATAGCATCGTACTTTTAAAAAATAACTTTTTTTGGAATTCTTTAACTGCAGGTAGATTCCTTGAATGCCTACCTTGATGAACATATGTGGAGAAATATTTTTGGAAAAGGATAAAATCCTGATATGACAACCCGAACAAGAAAAAGAAAAACCCAGTTTTGACTAACCCAATTTATTCAAAATCTTTATTCATTTTGGTAGCTTACACACCATTTAGATGCTCTCAAAATAGCATATGAAATAACTTCGAGATGTAATGAAGCTAAAATGTTATTTGACATGTTTTGTACTTTCTAATGATCATTACCAGGAAACATTGAAGGATGTTTTTACCAGAAAGAATGTAATCAATATACAAAACAATGTTGCATATTCAGAACGTAATGTTCTTAAGTTACAATAATAAGGTCTTCCTGTAATAGTTGATTGGCCCTACCCAACTATCCCATGCAAGTTAATGGATTTATGTTGCTCTAAATGTGTTAAAATGCTTCACTTAGGTGTTACTCAGCACATGGTCCGCGAACTATCCACATTGATTTCATGATTGAGAAGAACAAATCACATCGATTTATGATATGCATTTGATTATTTAGGTATATCCTAAATTGTTTAGCTTCCCCTATTGATTTATGGCGTGAATGTAACATTTTACGTTTAACCGTAAACATGAGGCTTTCGTTTGGTTGTCTAACTAATGATTTGGATCAGACAAAAGCATTTTGATGAGTGGATTCTTAAAATTAGTGAATGTAATACTGGTGGCCATGATGATGGTGAAGTTGAAGTTCAATTTCCAAAAGACGTTGTTGTTCACTCTACAGGTGACCATATTCATTCAATTGTATCCACCATTTATCCATCATTTGAAAACCATCTTGATGATCCATCATATTTTCAAGATAAAGCTATTTTGGTACCTACAAATGAAGAATTCAATGCTACCAATGACTACATTTTAGGATTGATGAAAGATGAAGTGAAAACATATATGAGTTCAAACTCTTTATGTGAGATAGAGTTACCAGATTTTTTTGAGGAATCAATCTACTCTTCAGTTGTGTTGAATGGTTTTAAGGTGTCTAGAATTTCCAACCATAAACTTACACTAAAAATAGGTGTTCCAGTCATGTTACTTCGTAATATCGAACAAACCAAAGGACTATGCAATGGTACTAGGTTACATATTGTTAGGATTGGAAGACACGTCATTGAAGCCTGAATCATATATGCTATATTCTTTAACGAGACTACTTATATACATTGAATGAAGTTAACTCCGTCTAATAAAAGAATCTCATTCCATTTTTAGCAGAGGAAATTCCCCATAGTTGTTTATTTTGTTATGGCCATTAACAAAAGTCAATGACAATAATTATCAAATGTTGGATTATACTTGCGTAGGCCCGTCTTCACTCATTGTCAGTTATATGTTTTTTGTTTCTCGTGTCACAAATGAAAAAGGATTGAAAATAATCATATATGACGAGAAAGGCCGTCCAACTAATAAAACAAAAAGTTATGTTTACAAAGGGATCCTTCAACGATTATAGATATTCAGGTGTTTCATTGTTTTTTTTTCAGTCATTTCAATGTTACCAATAATACTAAATTTGTTTATGTTTCAAGAAGGCTAAAGAAAAAACATGCTTAGAGTGTTATTATGTTGAAATTGCAGGCATCTTTAATGTGGTGGCACATATTGATAAAGATGGTACAATAGCATTCAAATGGAAAGACAGTGAACACGAAAGGTCTTATATGGAGAGATTTCGTGCTTTCAGTACTAAGGTATTATTGTTTTTCTCATTTCATCTTCATATCAATATTAATTTATCGAGGTTGGTGGTGTTTAAGAGATTGTGGTTATTATTGGTGCAGATACTTAAGGCTGCCTCTTCGGTTTCTTTCAAGAAGCGAAAATCGGATGACCAGATGCATGAGGTTGACACTATGGTTCCTAAGAAGAAATCAAAATTGGATGACTAGTAAAAGGTGGGATCTTATTTTTGCTGTTTTTTCTTATTACAGTTAATGTGAATGCATTTGGAGGAACAAACTATGAATATATAAACTTGTATTTTTGACTTTCTTATGGCTGAAACATTGAAAGATAACACTCTGAAAATGAAGAATTTGTTTCAGTAATACATTGCTTTTTAGAAAGTTTGAACACAATATGGTTGGTTTGGTTTTAGCAGTAAAAATGGAGGGATGTTGTTTCGCATGGCTAAAATATTGTTTAGTATTGTCAATAAGCAATTTTGCCCGAAATAAATTTAGAAAAAAATAATAATAAATAAACCACTTTTTGAGTTACATTGCTTTGTGTTAATTTGGCATCTATATTTGTCAATGTTTTGGAAACCAGGCTGGATATCCAACCAGCCTCTTTAAATAAGTATATGCATGTGACTATTCTTCTCTAACCTCTTCTTTTTAAAAAATTAGATTTTTCATCTTATTTCATATCTCCATCCGATTAATATTTTTTTCTTTTTTGTTTAATTATATTATTCTTTGATTGTTGATAAAAAAATATCATATTGTTATATATATATATATATATATATATATATATATATATATATATATATATATATATATATATATATATATAGAGAGAGAGAGAGAGAGAGAGAGAGAGTTAAGCGCATAGGTAAGAAATGGTGGTAAGAACATGGCGAGTCACTACCTTAAGCTTACATTAATAAAATATCTAACATTTTTTGAAAATAGACCCCGGCTCAAACCTCTCCATATAAACAACTAGTGTTATATCTGTCCGGTGGCTTAGTGGCTTGGTTGACCGATATAAAAACTATAGATCGATTTTACTTTTTTTATAGTATCCTACTTTCATTAGTTCCCATTATAGCATTGTACTTTGAAAATTCTATAAAATTATAGCTATATCTTTCATATAAAGTTGTTTTGAATTTGATAGCCAAGAACATGATCATGGGTGGCTATAATAAACTTGCCAAGATGATATTCAAATAATATAATACAATTATATTTTGTAAATATATGTATAACATGGTTATAATTCTATAAAAGTTTTTTGATTGTTGGTTATGTAAATTTATAAAAAAAAATATATTTATTGCCTATTATAGCATCATACTTTAATTTGTTGCCATTATAACATTTTATAATGACAAACCTACCTAGTTATAGTTAATATCATTCATATAATAACGGTAAACATGTTGTAAGCTGCCTAAAATATACTTAGATACTACAATAAGTACATTGCTATTTTTGGTGAGAATAACAAATTTTGGGTCATTTTTATGTTGTATCTAACTCGAGGGACTAAAACTTAGTATAAGCGGAAAGATATACTATGAAATTCAGTATTTTTCGTATTTATATTCTTCTTTCACTAAAGACTCCTCTCCTTGCAAAGAAGACAACATTGTCACTCGGTCTGTAGAAGAGATATCCAAAGGACTTCTGTGGGTAGCCGATGAAAATATATCGCTCACTTTGAGGTTCGAGCTTGTAGTGAGTCTCGCGCCTCACAAAAGGCTCGCAACCCCAAACCTTTATGTGTGATAACAATGGAGATTTCCCTGTCTACATCTCGTGAGGTGTTTTGGCAACCTTTTTTTAGTTGGGACTAGATTAAGGATATGGGCGACAGTCTCTAAGGCATATCCCCAGAATGAGATAGGTAACAAAGCTCGACTCATCATGGAACGAAACATGTCCAACAAGGTCCGATTGCGCCTCTCAGCCACACCATTAATTTGTGGTGCCCTAGGAGGTTTCAATTATAAAACAATTCCACATTCCTTAAGATAGTCAAGAAACTCGATACTAAGATACTCACCACCCCGATCGGATCAGAGCATCTTTATCTTCCTGCCCAGGTGATTCTCCACTTCTTGTTTAAATTCTTTGAACTTTCGAAAGTTTTCTGACTTATGCTTGATTAAGTAGACATAACCATATCTACTTTAATCATCAGTAAAAGTTACATATGTAACAACCAGAATCAGAAAGACCAAGAAAAGAAAGGAAAGGCTCTAAGTCAAGAGTCAACTCATCGAGTCTAGGGAGAAACTCGACGAGTCGGAGCGGGATCCGGGGCATAGAGTAAGTGACCGACTCGGCGAGTCGGCTAGTGGACTCGGCGAGTCTGGTCTGGGCGAGAAAAACCCTAATCCCGGGGGTTGTGCCCTATTTAAAGTACATTACATCCCTTCCCCAACCTCTTTACTCCCCTTTTGAGATCAAGAAACCCTAAATCGTGAGTGAGAGCCATTGGAAGCAATTTAGAGCTTAGATAAGTGATTTTGGTGGAAAGGGGCTTGAAGATCAAGAGGCTTGCTGCAAAGGAGTGGTGTAGATCCGGGATCTACTTCAGTTGGAGCATATATTGGAGGTAATAAGCTGTTGCTTTGGCTTTATTGCAAATAGATCTATCTTATGTTTGAGATTTGGGGCATTTTGGGCATGATTGAGATCTATGTCGAGTTAGAGGCCCATATCTAAGGTTGCTACCTCAGATCTAGACTTGTGATGGTCCAGAAGGTCATAAAGTTCATGTCAATAAGTTGTTGGTGAAGCCCCTTTGTCTTAAACCCTAGCCCTTGAGTGTTTTGGGCCTTTAGCTCCTTGGTTTCACGTAAAGTTTGCAACTTTATGTGGGGGATAGACTGTAGAAGAGTGGATCTATGGATTGGAGCCCCTGCATGGCTCGAAAAGCCACTGTATGGATTGAGAACTGGAGAGACTCGACGAGTCACATGGGTGTACTCGACGAGTTGTATGAATATGTGCATGGACTCGGCGAGTTGGAAGAACAACTCGGCGAGTCTGTTGAAGATTGCCTAGGACTCGGCGAGTCTGTTCTTGGACTCGACGAGTCAGGTCGCAGAACCCCCAACCTCTTCTGGTTAAGACGCAGATTAGTGAGTTGAGTGGTGACTCAGTGAGTTGGACAGGATGGGACTCAGAGATCGTTGAACTCGACGAGTCCTGGGGTGACTCGGCGAGTTGGGTCGTATTTTGAGAGCTTCTGAGTTTAAGGACTCGGCGAGTCTTCGGGTTGACTTGGCGAGTCGAGTCAACTGGAAGGTTGACTTTGACCAGGACTTTGACTTTAACCATAGTTGACTTAGTTTGACTTCTAGAGTTCAGTTTGGAGCTAAGTGTTTTATTGATATTAGTAGCTCGGGGAGCTAGTGGAGCAGCGATTCAAAAAGTGGTCGGACAGCAGCCAGAGGGTTATCAGCAAAGTTCAGCAGTGCGAGGTGAGTCTCCTCACTGTTTGTATAGGTCTACGGCCACAATGCCGACCCATTTAGTTTATGTATGGTAGGAAGACCCGGGGGTTAGCCCTAGGCATTATGCATGAAAGACCAGGAGGAGGCTCCTGGCACACAGTATGTTATTATGTATGGTAGGAAGACCCGGGGGTTAGCCCTAGGCATTATGCATAAAAGACCAGGAGGTGGCTCCTGGCACACAGTATGTTATTATGTATGATAGGAAGACCCGGGGGTTAGCCCTAGGCAATATGTATGAAAGACCAGGAGGTGGCTCCTGGCGCACTGTATGCTATTGTGTATGAAAGACCAAAGGGGTGGCTCCTGGCACACTATATGTGGAGTGGCCTAGTAGAGTAGTCTGTATAGTTGTCTTTGTGATACTTGCATGAAAGACCAGGGGGTGGCCCTTGGCACTTGTCTGTAAGACCCAGGGAGTGGCCCCAGGCTTGACCAGAAAGACCACGTGCGGCCCGTGGCATAACCGCAAGACTATGTTTGGCACATAGCACCTTAGCAAGACTATGTTTGGCACATAGCACCTTACTTGATTATGGATATGTTGGTTATGTATGGCTCTTGGCTATGTATGGCATGTATGGATCAGTTGGTTTGTATGGTATGTGGTATCTGGGGAACTCACTAAGCTTCGTGCTTACGGTTTTCATTTTTGGTTTCAGGTACTTTGTTTTCAAGGAAAGGAGCTGGTTCGATCGCAGCGCATCACACTATGTTTTCCGCACATGAGATCTTTGGGATCACACTCTGATATGGTTTTATGATAATATGCTTTGATTACTGACACTTTGGCTTAACACGAGATATTATTATGCATGTTTTATACTGATGGTTTATGTAATAAGTTATTTAAAAATGAAATTTTTGGCCTTGAATTTTGGGATGTTACAAGTTGGTATCAGAGCCCTGGTTTGAGGGATTCGGACACACCCTTGGGGGTGTCTGGACTCAAATCGAGGGATTAAAAGCTTTTTACAAGAAAATGGTTTTCTAAAATATGAGTAAAGGAGTTTTGAGAAAGAACGAAGTGTGTGATGTGAGTGACCGGCCGAGCTCAAGTAAGTTTACCCCAAGATACCCATACAAGTTTATATTATGGTTACCAGTTTCAGTAGAACAACATGCTAGAATAGGACTAAGGATCTAGGAATGATGCCTTATGTGCCTGCTTTATGTGCTTCAGCTTATGAGAATTGCATGCTAGTATTGAGTAGACAGCAGTAGGATAGCCTGTTTAGGTTATACCTGATAGTATGAGCTTAGCATTGTATGCTGGTGCAGTTTCCTATTATGAGGATAGGATTGCTTGAGATCGTTCCCTTTGTCTGAATGCTGCTTGCTTTGTGCTTTGTGGGACTCTGAGTGATGGGAGTTAGCCATTAGGTGAATACGTCACGTCACATGTGATCAGGATTGAATAATCTCAGAGTGCTGGATTTGGCCCTGTTGTGCAACTCTCGTTTGAGTCTAACCGTTGTAGGGACGAGTCTTTTACTCGAAGGATTATCTGAGCCTCGTCACATGTGATGGTATTCAGGTGATAACTAATTGGCATTATAAGGAGGCCTTCAGCAGCTGAGGACTGGTTTAGGTAGAGCCAGAGATTTATCTAGGGCAAGCTTAGGATGAGAGTAGCAGAGATCAGTAGTAGTGAAAGGGACTTGGTGAAGTTGAAGCAACCCTTGAGGAAAG